CCAGCAGAATTCTTACGTACTAGGTATGCAAGTGTGCCTTTTTCCAGAGATGCACCAAATAAGCATGGTAAACTGATATGAGGAAGTTTATCTCCACTCCTCTCATACAAATTTGTAGGTCTTGTTTTAATCGTGCTTTGGCTTCCCCTGTAAGTGTTGCAGGAAAGTTTCAGTGTAATAAAAGAAACAGGTTAAGCAGGAAAGTTTGGTGGGTGACCGTCAATATTTACTGACCCCAAGAGCAGAACTGTCTTGCAATGTGACATATCAGTAGTTCTGATCTCAGCATACAGGCATGGGAAAATATTACTTTTCAATATTATCTGAAATACTAACCTTCCCTATCCGCCCAACCTAATGACCTCTGTCTGCACAGGACAACAATTTGACATTTCCAGTTAGTATGCTGATTACAAATGATAAGAGTTGTACTTCAACTATCTGGAGAGGAGCAGGTTGATAGATTTTGTTCTTTATTCTTGCACATGATTCATGATGGAAATCACATCATGCAAAGCACATTGCAAATAAGGAAGATTGCAAGCTATACTAGTTCCTCATCTGGATTAGTCCCCACCTGTTCCCAAAAGTTAGAGATCTATTGTCCTAGAAACAAGAAAAGGCACAGACAGGGTGGCATTTTTGCATTCAATATCTGGCCTTAATCAAAGCGGGCAAGGGGAACATCTAGCTTTCAGGTTCCAGATATTGTTGGAATACACCTTCCAGCAACTCTCATTATTGGCCTTCTCACTGTTGGGAGTTGAACATGGAGGCTCATGCTCCCATTCTACTAGGTTACATTTTTAAAAAGAATTTTCAAAAAATAGATCCAATATTACTTTTGTAGCATTGTTTAAAAAAAGGAGAAAACCTGATCTTAAAAAAAAGTGCTTCTTATAATGTATTCCTTCTATCACATCAGATTTTAAAAGCATGTACGACATGTAATAAGCTAAATACGCTGTATATTAAACATGTATCAGTGGAATAATACAAACTTAAAGGATATATACCGCAATATAAAATTCAAGCCATAGTTCACTGAACCACAGACTGTCCTTTGGTTTGCACATAGTTTGCTCAATAGTACAGGCCAAATCAAGCAATAGGTTAAAAATTACATGTTCAAAATTAGAACAGCAGATATAGCAGCAAATTCAGCCTGTCCCAACCAACCTGGTCTTCTCTACATACAGAATATTGGGACTATAGCTTTGAGTATTCCAGTTATAAGGTTGGAGAGAGTTGACTTAAGCCTGACTGGACTATGCAACTGATTGTCCTATGGGAGGCAACAATGGTGTTCATACACTGTGTACTAATTCAGGCATATAGTTTAGTCTGTTCCAGGTCACTATTCTCACTTCAAAATTAAGCAAGAGTTAAGCAAGACACTCCAAAATGGGTGGGGGTTAGAACTCAAACTGAGTCTATTTTAGCTTCCTGGAACATTTTACAGATAGTCCTCGACTTACAACAGTTCATTTAATGACCGTTCAAAGTTACAGTGGCACTGACTTATGACCATTTTTCACAGTTACAACCTTTGTAACATCCCCAGGATTGTGGGATCAAAATTCAGATGCTTGTCAATTGTTTCATACTTATGACCGTTGCTGTGTCCCAAGGTCATGTGATCACCTTTTGCAACCTTCTGACAAGCAGTCAATGGGAAAGCCAGATTCACTTAACAACTGGGTTACTAACTTATCAATTGCAGTCATTCACTTAACAATTGAGGCAAGAAATGGAGCAAAACTCGCTTAACAACAAAAATGTTGGGCTCAATTGAGGTCATAAGTTGAGGACTACCTGTACTTCTCAAATGTCTGCCCTACCCCAAATGTTAAAAGAGCAAGTTTGAGGCTCTCGGTGCTGTAAAAGGAGTTCTGGCATTTCATAGGATTCAGATGCAATATGGATTTTTACACCAGGCAGGATGTTGGATAAAGTGCTCACAACATCTCTTCCAACTCTTTAGTCATATGATTCTATGAATACATTGTATGAACATTCTTTACAATAAATGCTGCAATATAGCATTGGGATCCTACGTTGCTCATGGGAAGATAAGATGCCATCTAGTGAGCTCATGTTCAAAATGAAATTCAGGTTGGGGTTATATGGAACTTCAGTTCGCTGCCATTTTAATGCAATGGTTCCTTTTGCTGTATGATATAATAAATTGAAAACCACGTGCAGTAGACATGCCTACCCACTGCTTTAGATAGGTCAATCAAAATCTGTTTGTTCATATTGCGGAGTAACATACCACAATTTTCAAAAGATAAAGAGACAGCCTTTTTGAAAACATCCAGATAAATTGTTTTATATTGTCATCTAGCAGTTATTTGTTGGAAAGCAGTCTCAAGACGATTCCTTTCTAATCCTTAAAAGCCCACGTGGATGCAATGAACCAGGTTCAGGGGGATCTCACACTCAAATTGGAGTAATTGCATGAATCAGTCATTGCACTAAAGGCACAACATCTTGCAAGCTATTCCAACTGTTGAGAACAAACACCTACTTCGCTCTTCTCCCATCTCATGCCTTCCCAGCCAGCACGGGAGGCAGTATGATGATGTCCTTGAAGTTCAATCCTTCAGGAAGGCAGCAGGTTGGAGATGGCTAGCCTATATCTTTCTCTGAAATGTGAGGGCCAGCATGTATCTCGAATTCTTCTTTGGTTGTTAAGTGAGACTTACTTAAAATAAAAAATAAAAAACTCCAAAATGCTACTTTTCGTGTAACCACTTTTGTAGCTTTGTTCTGTACTGTACAACAAACCATGTTTCTTACTTCCGAGGATTAAATATTTTTAATACCTCTCTAATGACTGTGCTAGCTGGGAAGATGAGCAAACCCATCTAGAAGACACCAGGTTAGAGAAAGTGCAGTAGCAATTCATCAAAAATATCAAAAACAGAAACTGCCTCAGCTGGTTCTAACTGCACTTCCTATTTCCCTCCTTACAAGGTTATGCTCAGACTGACAGAAACTCTTCAGATGATGAGATGTTTTGACTAATAGGCTTCAAGGAGCATTAAGAGATTGCTGACAGCCAGTCATCCTCATGTGATAGACAACCCCAGCACACTGACCAACTTAATAATATTGGCAGGCAACTACTTCCTGGGGAAATAACAATTCAAAAGAAACTGAACTTCTATGGTTTTTCCAGAGATGCCATCTTAAGAGTAAGATCAAGCTAGATCAACATTAGGGCAAAGGTTCTTAGATGCAGAAGGTCAAACACAAATCACTGCTTTCTGTCATAATATAATTGCAATCACCAAATCTTAGTGCCTAAATCAGCCTTATGTTTATCACAGTTCCCAACTTGAGATGAGTCTTATTAGCTTTAGATTGATCTAATGTACTCTCCACGGCTGTCCTGGAAGGGACATATGAAACCCAATATTGCCCCTCTGATATGGGTATCATAGAAACCACAGTTCATGTTCTTCTATATTGTTAGTTCGACAGTACATTCACCACCAGTTGATTAACCCTCTTTTATTTAAATTTTCAGGGCACTCTGATAGTTTTTATCTGTACTATTTGTTAAAAAAATCAAAATCAAATTATTTCTCTAAAATTCATTAAAATGTTGCATTATGTATAAGCTCCACCCACAAGTAGTTACTAATTGTTCTTGTTGATGGGGATACTTTTGTGTTGTATCCCCTATCAATTGATTGTACCTTTTATTGGCCAATGATCAAAATGAAGTGTGTGTGTGTGTGTGTGTGTGTGTGCGCGCACACGCGTGTCTGTCTGTCTGTCTGTCTGTGAGACGAGAACTTTGGCACTGTGGGAAATGGTTCTTCTAATGCAAGCAGTGGTTCTATTGTTTTAATGTTACATTTTTAAATTGTTAAATGTAGATTCAATATCTAGCATAATAGAATCATCATAATTTTCAAGATTAGAAATAAAGTAAAATCAATTGAAAATTCTTTATCCTCAAAAGCCATTGGGAAAAAAACCCTACAGTATTTGTGCAAAATGCCTAGATGTATAGGTTATAAATGGTTATAATAATCATTACATCATTTTGGAGAAGAATTGCTATGTGGTCAGTAATGTGACACTGTCTTGCTGACATGTAAATCAATCAATCGCAGACACTAGGTAAACTGGAAATAAAAGAATGAATCAGATGGATTATTTACCCCAGCACACAAAGCTCCAGCACCACCTTATTCTATAACTGCTACAAAAGTTTGTTTGGACAATCATCTTATACAAACTTTCTAGGGAAGAAATCCCATTGATATTAGTGGGATTTACTTTTAAGGAGGCGTGCACAGAATTGTGGTGCTGGAGCATGGTTTATCAATTGCTACTTTAGCCAGTCAATTGAATACATATCTTTCTTGCAG